GCGGCACTCGACGGTGGCTGAGGCACTGCAAGTGGGAGCAGACATGCGAGCAAAGTTTGTGCTATTGACGCACTTCAGCGGCCGCTACGCGAAACTGCCGCTGGTCGAATTGGAACGGTCGGACATCAAGTTTTCTGTCGCCTTCGATTTTATGAAGTTCGCACTGTCAAGAGTCGACGGCCTGACTGACATTCTTCCGCTGCTGAAGATTCTCTACCAAGAAGACTACAATGACATGCTAATGAGGACAGAGAAGCGCATTCTGCGTAAAGAATTGCTTAACAACCAAATGAAGGTGAAAAACTGAAGCTTTTGAATTTTCTGTTTTCTTATGCCTCTTATTTTTTTACTCTGCGCTATAGTAAAGTTGGACGTTCGAAAGAAAAGCATACACTTTGTTTGCAGCATTTGATATGGAAGATTATTCGATAACTTCATTTTGGTCGAAGATCAAAAGTAGGATACACCTGTGCCGGAGAGGGAGGAAGGGAAGTAATATGGAATGTGCAGTCAAGTGCCTTAAGCACCTTCCCTACTATTTTTTAGTTACTTTCTACTGTTGTCTATTCATGCTGCGACCATCTTCAACGTAGCACAGTTGTAGTGATTATGGTTGCGCCGACGAACATTGGGATACAAATACGGTAGTAGCAAATTTACCTGAATATTATAGCGTGACAGAAGTTTAATCAGCGACCAATTCCATAAACGTTATGACTGCGTACACAAATTTCAAAGAGATGGACAATCGTTTGGGCTTGTGGATAGTCGGCAAGTCTTTTGACAGTAAGTTCTTTTTTCTCGGCGTTCCGTAATCTTTTTTTTTAGTTAGAGACCTTCGCCACGTTTAAATCTCAATGTTTTTAGTTAACGAAATTTATAACTGTATGATCAGGCAGAAGGGAATCGTATGCTCGTAGGTATCAGCTACTGTAAGCAGCTTTACAACAACAGAGGCATAAATAAGGCAGCATCGTTGGCTTATGCGAACAATTCGATTGTTTGTAGCAAAACTAGTGACATGGCTGGAAGAGAAGTCCAAAAAATGGAGG